TCACAGCCAAACGTGTGCTATCTCTTTTTTTTCCCTCCCTGCCTTTGGACGCTTCCCATCCTAAATCTCTCCTGTCAGAGGATCTGTTTGTAATTTATTTCAGCAAAGGGCATATGTGGTGGTGGCTAGGAGCCCTTTGCCCCATGCATGTGTTCTACCTTAGGCCCCCAGAAAGATTCTTCAGTTTAGAAGCACTTACCCCATCAGCAGTTTGACTGCTTGCCAGTCCTCTCCACTAAAATGTCCTCCTGGAAACTCAGACATGTGTATGGCTCTTCCCCCTCTGCCTCCTTGGGTCTTTAGAGGTCACCTTCTCAGATAGGCATTCTTCCCACTTATGAATGAGGGGCTCTAGTTTTACCACCTTCACCGACCCACTTCAATTTTACCCCCCCTCAATTTTTGCCAGGCACTTCTTAAGGGAGCCAAACTTCATTTCTAAAAGTATCTTAACATTCATTCAATTAAATGGAACATTTATAAATGTTATCAGGGAAAGGATCAATATTGGAGTTCCCATGGAAGGTTTCTAAGAAGAAGTGGGCCTCAAAGAATTAATAGAATTGGACTAAGTAGAGAATCAGACTGGACAGAAAAGAGCAGCAAAGGAGGGGGTTTGTCTGTTTGCCAAACAGAGGAAAAGAATACTAGCAGAGGTGCAATGCATGGTGTGTGGGATGATCAGAACCAGGACTCAGACTGAATATTAGGTAAGAATGGCATAGTTAATTTAGAGAAGTTCTTGGAAACCACGGTAAAAACATGACATTCTACCACTTCCTTGTTCATTGTATTCCTACCTCCCTTGTTTTTCTGTTTGTTTTGCTTGAAGGTATCTCTCATGGTCCATGCATGAGTGGATATTGATCTACCTTCCATGCCCCCACACATGCGTACCCCACACACCAGCGGATTCAGGCGCAGATACAGCAAGCAGCTCTACCTGTAACCATCCTAGTTTACAGAGAAAGCTCCCTCTTTTTAGGATTAGTGTTTGATTCTGAATAGAAATCTCATTATATAGGCTTCTTTGCTAAGTACTGGTGAAGTCTTATCACTTTTTAATATTAAATTTCATGTAAAATTTTTGGATATTTAGTTGTTTATGGTCAAGATTCTTTCTGGTCTGTGTGTTAGTCATCTCCCAGCTAACAGTCTCTTGGCAGGGGCCTTGCTTGATTCAGTCACTGTGTGTTAACAGGCTGTTCAAAATTCCACATTGCCTAGAGTTTTTCCACCTTCAGTGTCCAGACACTTTTTCTGGCTTCTCCAACCCTTCCGAGCATTCAGAATCATATTTCAGTGAGCATGTTGGAAGCCATTTAGCTCTTTCCTTTTTATTTGCCTGATTAATTTTGAATTTGAAGTAATTATATTTTATACCCTTTGCCTGACTCAGTTCGGTGTTCATCTCATTCTGTTTACTCAGAAAGCCCAGAACATGAGATTTGTACCATTTGTGCTGTGCTCAAATGTGTGCTGATGGAAGAACGAACCTTTAACATTTTTACTCCGGTACTATTCTATTTAGTTCTATTTTTCCTAAATAAGTCATGGTCTTTTTTTGTTAAGTATACATTTGCACAAATGGTTCATCAGTCTTTGCACATAACTCAGCTCTCATAATTCCCTAATCTAATGTTGACCATGTTCTATTTTGTCATAAAACCCATGATTTTACAGCTTTCTCTTTACTGCATATTAGCAGTGAAGATCTGGTCCTTAATGAAAGTGTGTGGTCCATCCTCAGCATCACATCTCTGCCTGTGTTTTCCTTCACGAGACCTTCCTTTCCTTCCCATCTAAGCCAGAGTCTTCTCTGTTTCCCCAGTTAAAACATGTTCTGATATTTTTTATTCACACTGACAGGCAAGTTGTAGGCAATGACTGAAGGCACCGTTCTTCCCAGGGGTGGTCACTTACTAACAGAACTCAAAGCCTTAAAGTAAAGGGTTAGCAGAAGCTTCATCTGCCATGATTAAGAAGAATTATCAGGACTCTGTGCTGCTCCTGGGTGCCTACTATATAAAGAGATGCCCGCCCACCCACCCAGGGGAAGGACCTACAAAGATCATGAGTTGTCACAAGCTGTTTCCAGTTTGTCCTCCTTTAATTAAAACAATTACAGCCTCATCAGTAATGATGAGATTGTCTCACTAACTGTCCGAGGGTGTTAGTACTAAGCCACCCACTGAACCGTTTTATAATGTCTCATGAGTAGACCAGAGAATGTTGCTGTGACTCCTTTATCCTTTAGAGGTGTGGCTATGTTACCTCAAACGCTGAACTATCCAGCTTATCATTCAGAAGGAGCTTTCTGAATTCACCTCAGGCATTCACATGCTATCTGGTAGAATCATCTTCTAGCAATGCTGATAGTTTCCTTGGTCCAGAATTTGTTATCTTCAGAAGAAGCGTGTGAGGAACAGATCCCATTTTAAAGCCACCTAGACCAAACCTAGCCTGAGTCTCCTTCTGGTTGGGCTTAAGATGACAATGCCATTCCAACCATGGCCACGAACTCCTGAGTCTTGGAATCAGATCACAGCTTTACTTTCCCTCAAAGCATCTGAGCTTGTATTCCCAGGTTTTCCATCTCTTCTTGATATTTAAAGCTTTAAAAAACCCCAGTTATCAGTTTAAACCATAACAGGCACATGGGCTCTAATGACTTCTGCAGGTGATTTGGGCTATATTAGAGAACCTAGTCTTGATCTTAAACTGTCATCTGGATTCTGAGTTAATCCAGGAAACCAGTAAAAATTAGTAATGTGTATTGCATGTCTCTGATACATGTGTTTTCCATTATTTGGTCTTCTACAGCACATGCTTCTACTCTCTCTCTCTCTCTCTCTCTCTCTCTCTCTCTCTCTCTCTCTCTCTCTTTCAGTTTTTCTAAAATGGGGAAAGAGGGACTATGGTTCCAAAAGGAAATGACTGGTGTGGTGCCTTGAAATCTGAACTTAGTCACATGTTCTAAATGAAATGGCTCCAAGCACATTAACAAGACTTCTTTCTTTCATCTCCTACTTTTTGGAAAACATTTTGATGAGAAACACTGGCTAACTTACAGGCATTCAAATGTATTTCTGTAAAGATAAGTAATAGCCATTGCAAAGCAGTAGTACCTGTGAAATTGGAGTTAAGCTTCCATAACAGTGGTCTAAAAGAATAGGTAGGGTTAGCAGCAACCAGCTGTTCTTCATCCCTGCTAAGGCTGGGAAAGAAGGAAATTAGCTTCAACTATAATAGAAAAGATTTTCAAGACTGGTAATGGGAAATTTATCATCAATGAAGACTATCTTAAACATTGGAACAGATGAGTGACCAATAGAAGTGGAGGAGTGATGTATTCTATTGGATTTAAAATAGAATATATCATCTGCTCAAGGCACTTAGAATTGGTAGATTAGATCTATCTAGTAATTTTTAACTTTGGCAGGGGAGTCACAGACCCCATTTAGAATTTGATGGCCCCTCTCTCCAAAAACATACACACTCAAAACTTTGCGTACGATTTCAGGGAACTTACAGACTCCCTGAAGTCTATTAATTAGACCCGCATTTAGGACACCCTGGACTAGATGAGCTCCAAAAACCTGTTTAGCTCCCTAAGTGACAAAGTCCACGGCTCAGTTTTCTTATACATAACAATGGAATCTGAAGATCAAGTGTCAGGCTTCGGATTTTCTTCCTCCAGATTTGTAATGCTTGGCATGCCCAGTATTAAAGTTAAAAAAAGAATAGCAAGAATTCTACTTCTAATTCAATTCTTTGTCCTGGAAAAGCCAAATGTTTAATTAAAAAAATTATTGGTTGGCTCTGTGTCATTTTCATAGAAAGGCAGTACGGAACTAGGCTGTCACCAGCAGTTCTTCCCCAGCCCCGAACCCCGCTCTGGATTCACAGATGAATTCAAATTCAGATGCCACATTCACTACCCAGAATTCTTCCATGCCCACACATCTTCTTACTGTATTGCTATGATTATTCAGCTGGGCTTGAGAAAATATTATCTATTTATAATTTTCTCATTAGTTTTATGTCCAAGTTTCATCGACTGCAAGTTGGAAGATGACCATCCAGAATTACAAGTCAGGGAGTAATTTGGTCCTCTCCCTAAAATAAAGAGCTTTTATCCTCTTAAGAAGTAGGAATGGAGTATAGTCTGTGTCTGTGTATTTTAAACTCATGATAATGAGTTGCCCTGTCTGTAAAAAATATGACTCTACATGGTTTTCCTGTTCCCTTCTACAAATATTCTATAGTTTACCTGCAAGTTCTATAGCACTCCCTTTCATTCCATGTTGGGATTACAATTACTTGACTCTTTGCACTTGGAAATAGGAACTCTGGAAATAAAGATTGCCTCAGTATGGAAGGGAAGTGATATTTGGGAAAGAGCATAATTGTCAGATGTCTGTAACTTCTCAATTTTCACTGTACCTCATGCTCCTATTGGCAAACCCTTACATTCACAGTTGGAAGTATCTTAATGAAGTTAGAAATATTACTGATGAATAGGAGTTAGCACACTTAGCCAAAGTCTCCTTAGCATTCACATGGAACACTGGTCCTTTTGACAGCTGTTTCTTCCCATTGTTGAAGGCAAGGAGGAGGACTTAAGGATTCTTCTCTGTACTCCTCACTAAAAACCCCTTCTGTTCCAGTTGCTCCAATCAGAGTAATACACTGCATGGAAAGCATACGAGACATGATGTCTGGACAGATGCTCTGTGGCATGATTAACCCTGGCAGCTGCTTTAGCCCTTGTTACGCCACTAGAGGCTGTTTGGGAGCTAGAATAGGGAGAGGACAGCCATCCTGGCACGCAGCCCACCTGTAGCTCTGTTCAGTGACCGAGAATCCCTCTGCATCCTTGAAAGTTTATTGACATTTCACATCCTTAAAGCACATTTCTGTCTTTCTGGGGCTGAAGCTTATGGCAGAGATGCACATTCTGTTGAATATGTATTCTTTGTGTATATTCCTGTCTGCAGAGAATGTGATCAATGAGCAGGACTACGAAGTGATGATGCAGATTGACTGTCAGGTGATGGACACCAGGATCCTCCACATCAAAAGCTCATCAGTTCCTCCTTACCTCCGAGATCAGCAGAGGAATCAAACCAACACATTCTTTGGCTCCCCTCCCGCAGCCACAGAGGCAACTCACGTTGTCAGCACCATCCCTGAGTCATTGCAATAGCACCCTGCAGCTATGCTGGAAAACTGAGCGTGGGATCCTGCCAGACTGAAGAGCAGGTGAATGAAATGCTGCTTTCTGCCTTCTTGGTGGCAGCCAGAGAACTGCCTCTGCTAGAATTCAAGGAGGAAAGAAGAAGAAATAAAAGAAGCTGCTCCATTTATCATCATCTACTCATCTATTTGGAAAGCACTGAAATTCAGACACAAGAGAACAATATTTCTTCAGTGGCAAATGTAGCCCTGCATCCTCCAGTGTTACCTGGTGTAGATTTTTTTCTGTACTTTTCTAAACCTCTCTTCCCTCTGTGTTGGTCTTGTGTTTAAACAGTCATCTTCTTTCAAATAAGATCCACCTCTCCTTTTTCCATTTCACTTATTGATTTGTAAAGTGAATTTTATTTAAAGCTATGCCACACCTGCATGTTCAAATAGTTTCCACTGATTCGATTTTTCATTGATTTAATGCAAACCCATTCTGGATATTATGCTTATTTAAGAAAAACGCATTTCAAAACCAGAACAGCCAAAAACAGTCCAAAAAGAATCAAAACAATTTGGACCTTTAGGTAAAAGGGAAAACACCCAGTTGGTAAAGTTTATCTTTACTTAGGATTTGTGGCTCGCGCCTTAACAAAGTGGGTGTGGGAGTGGATGCAAATTTGAGAGAAGAGAAGGGAAGGGAAGGACCAGTGGTGCGGTTTGGAGAGAGAAGTTCTATTCATATACAAGTTTAAAAGATGGCAAGTTTGATGGGATTGCAGTCTGAGATAAAGCCACAGCTATCGTTCACTTTGAGGCCATCAAGTATTAGCACACATACTTAAGTTTTCTCTTTACTAATCTGGTCCTCATGGACCACAGGACACAGCTTTCATTTTCATTCATTCTGCTATTGGAATTATACCAAATTCAGCGGAGGAACATGGAAGTAACTTTCGACTTAAACAAGACAAAAGCCTTTTCACTGAAGAACTGAGAAGTATTTGCTCCTTAAAACAATGCAGATTAGTGAAGGTGGCTTCCTGCTGAGGGAGTGCATCCCATAATATGGCAATAATTATCAGTTTTTCCAATGAAAAGACAGTGAAGGAATTAAATCTTTTGTCCTCCCATGGCTTAAAAAAAAAAGCTGTTTATTTTTACTGTACTTTGCCTCTTTTTTTCATGTAGACAATTATGTTTCATTTGATGAATTCATAGAAATGGATCTCAGATCGTGATGTCCTCTCTAATGTTCTACCTTCAGTTTCTAAAGTGAGTCCTCCTCCCTATTCTACAAAACTTTTCAATTTCTTGATGTAACTCATTCTACAAACACTGCTTCTTACCCCAGTTGCCTTGCCTTTGTCAGATTTCTTCCTGTTCCACACTGTATCAATCAATTCCTTTTCTTCTTGCAAGAAAGAGAAGGAGAAGTTATAGCAACCTCTCAAGGATTATATGCAGCTGGTTAGTTTTCTGCCTGTGAAATTAGGCCTGGCCCCTCAATAATTTTAAAGAATCATCAGCACTTCTCTCTGGACAGGTGACTCTTTGTCCAAGCTAGTTAGATGCTTTCCAAGGAAATCAGTTCCACTTTTGTGAGTGGGAAAAAAGGGGGCTTTACTGTTGTATTACTTGGGAGTCTGGAGTTTGAAAAATGCGAATTAACCTTCCTCGTTTTCCACATTACAAACCATTTTAAGTCAGCGCAGCCCTCCCTTTAGATTTGGCTATCCTGGGTGATATTCAGACAAGAACCATTTTCCCTGGGGAACATTATTCTAGTGGGTACCAAAGAATATAAGGCAAATGCCCAGAAGTCCTTCAGGTGACTGGGCAGTCTTATCGTGGGATATTTTCTCCCGGCCCTGCTCCTTCCCATTCTGTAATGTGAATTAGCCACACAAGAGGCTGTGACCACGGCTAGTAGACAGCGGCAACGAAGTCTTCCTCAAGCTGCTAATCTTCTGCTGGAACTGTCATACGTTTTCATGGTCAATGTAAACCTGGTTCGAGTGCGGTGATTAGAAATGGAGTTTCCCTCCTCTCCGAGGCACAGAATCACAGAAGGACCCATCACGTGGACTTCTTGTTCTTAGCGCTTCACTTTTACTTCATCCCTCGATTCCCAGCTTTTTCTGTGATCATTTTACCAATTCCTCAGATGGAAGACTTCTGTTATATCATATTCACCAACGTTAGTCCCTGTCTTCCAGGTGAAAAGGTGGGTAGCGGTTGGGGGAAGTCTCCATTGAAGAGCAGGAAGGTTGCAGCAGGGCTGGCAGCCCAGCCACAGAGCTACGGGTGCCTGTGAGGTGCCGCCCAGAGCAGCCTGGAAGCTTTGCCTTCTCTTCTCTCTCACTGGCCCTTCCACTGTTTGTCATTGCCTGTTCTTGAATGGATCTTTGAGATGAGGGAACAGGATTCTACTAAGGGTGGAGTTTCAGGAAATGAGTGAAAGGCAATTGACAAGTGCAAAGAAGTATTCTACAATTTTAATCTTAAAATTGCTGGCAAAGCTATAATGAATCCCTAGGCATAATTGTAGTTTCAATGTTAATGTTTGTATGCACAAGGCCCTTTAGGAAATGGAAAGTCACTATGACAGATTAAAATTTTTTTTGAGGGGGGATTGCCTTTTGGGGGCGTTGCAGCCAGAAATTGTGGGGAATATGTGTATTTTTTTACTTATTAAATTTTAAATGAAATTTTGCAAGCTTGTGAGAAAATTAGATAAACTCATGGAGGAGGTAGATCTTCCTGTTATTAGAGGATTTTGTGCCCTTTGGGCTGGCAGTAATATCGTCTTGGGAAGTGATGGTGGAGGCTGATGGAAACAGTCTTTCTGCCTGGTTGCAAGTCCCAAATTTTTAAGGCTTAACGGAAAGTAAGTGGATGTTTCCTCATGTTAACTACTGAGTCAGATGTTCGAGCTTATCCCTTGAAACAAATCTGTTGTTTGCCATGCTTGTAGTACAGAAACTTCACATTGATTTTTGGGTGGGATTGTGTTTTCACAAGTAAAAAACCCCCCATAATTATAAAACTCAGAGCATCATCTAATTTTTTTTTAATGACTACAAGTTCCAGCACAAACTGGCATTTCTTTGCCATTTCTTGCTAGTAAGAAGTAGGCATGGAGGTATTTGAAAGCAATATTATGTGAGTCGTTCTTAAGTGCTCCAAGTAAATTTAGAAACAGACAAGGAACTTGGTATTCAATTTGATTTTTTAAATCATTTTTAAAGAGACAGCATCCTGATTAAATCCTCTTGGCCTGAACCTTCCTCCCCAGTGTGTATTCCCCGGTAGTCACCGCAGTGAGATGCTGGTAGGAATGCCATGGCAGCATGTATCTTTAAAACTGGAGAACTCTCAAGCTCTTTGCCACTTTCCTACTATTTTTTGATTCTTGCCATTTTTCTAAGCTCAGGTTGTGAAACTTGACAGAAATGTAATACAGGAAAAACTTGTAATTATATTTGACTTTCTAAATTGAAAAGTTTCCAAGTGACTTTCACTTTCAACAACATATCAGAAATAACCACTTTTGCTTTCACAGCCTGAAGAGCTAGAGCCTGATCCGATGCCCCCTTTCAGTCTGAAGTCATGGGAAATTTTCCAGCCATGAAAGCCCTCTTTCCACTGCATACTGATGGGCTGACTCAGCTTCCTTCAGCCGACTGAGATCTTTTTATACTATTGGCTATTTCATACCAGTTAACCTCTTAAATAAGATTGCTAATTGATAGCCACTTATTACCACCTGTGGACCTCATATTCCTTACCAGAATGTTTTTTTCATCAGTCCCGAGTCATTTCAACTTACAGAAATTAGGATTGTTGCTGCTAATATGAATACCAATCATAACTTTTAAAAACAAGGATAAAGCCTAAAAGAATGAAATATAAGAAATGTTCATTCCCACCCCTAATGACATTTCGAAGTGAATATTCCCATTTCCTTCGACCCACAGGGATTGGGATTGATTTTTAATTTTCTAGGAAATGATGCTGGACTACCCAAAAAGATGTTGCCAGAATCCAAAAGGAACTATGCTCATAAAAGAAATGCAGTTTTCTCCTGCCTGAAAAAAGAAGTGTGTTCTGTTCTTACCTTTTTAATGACTAAGCTTAAAACAGTTTATTTTGGGTAAGACTAGAACTTTGAACAGTTTGTTCTAATATCTGTGTTACTAGTCAAATGCAATAGAATTTATGAAGAGAAGAATGACAAAGGTATCTGATTAGGAAATTGGATCTTATGTATGAATCCATGTCATCACCAGCCACTGTCACATAGTGGATGCCATTCTCAACATATTGGTTCTAACTTTAAGCATTAGGGATTTAGCACATTAAAATACCTTTAATTATATTAGGCTTGGTAACTCAGGAGTAAATAAATAATAGTTTATCATTTGCCAAACAGCACAAATAACTGTTGTGCTGTTTGCTCTCAATGAAGTTGGTGACCATTAGTTAAATAAACCAGGAGGCTTGGCCTATCCCCTTTATGTTAATCTTAACTGGAGATTAGCAGGTAGACTTTCACAGCAATTGTAGATTGATCCACTTTAACTCATACTTGCCCTAACTTCCAGGCCAGTCACCAGGACAGAGGAGATGATGGGAAAACAGAGCTTTAGATGAAAACTACTATGCACTACCAGCCTTAGGGGCCCTGGTTTCCTGTTACCACTTTGGCACTTATGGCTGGGCTAAGTTCAATCAGGCTTCATCCATGGAACCGTTAGAACTGAGGAGGATGTGTTAGAGATACCATGTCCCCAGGATCTTTTTTCTCAGGTCGTACCCATGTCACTTTAAGAACATGTTGAAGACGAGCAGGAGAGATGCACCATCTCTCCCTTAACAATGCTGTTGTTTTGCAAAACCTAAAGAAATAACAACAGATTATTTCATACTTTCAAGCAAATCTTTATAATGCAATACCTGTTATTTCTCTAAAATTCAAATAAAGAATTTTTAAACTTGCCTTGTTTTATTCTGTATATAGAAATAGAGAAAAAACAGACCCCAAATGAATCTTCAGTGTTAAGGGGTTAGTCATGGGAAAGGAAGCCTGAAAACGCCTTGTGGCTTGTGTTACTGTTAAGATGAAATTGTTGAACTCTTTTCTACTTTTCTCCCAAGCCAATTAAGTAAAAATGTCCTTTATTTATGTGTCCAGATATTTAAACCACAATCTTATCAAGGAAAAAATAATCTAAAAACCCCATATTTTATCTTTCTGTGTCTTCAGGAAACCGTGTTACTCAGTCACACATCTTGTCCTCACCAAAGGCCTCTTCGCAGCTTTGCAGTGGCAAATGCCACCGCACCTGAAGCTAGTCACTGCAGACTGACAGCAAGGGCTCCATCAAGGAGGAATTAATGCAGGCATTTACTGAGCACTCAGGGAATGCCTCAGACACTAGTTTATTAACTATATTATCTTACTTTATTCTTCTACAACCTATTTTGTAAGATGGTTATTAATAAGTGGAGCCAGCCAGGTGCGGTGGCTCACGCCTGTAATCCTAGCACTGTGGGAGGCCGAGGTGGCTGGATCCCCTGAGCTCAGGAGTTTGAGACCAGCCTGGGCAATATGGTGAAACCCCGCCTCTACAAAAAATACAAAAAATTAGCCAGGCATGGTGGCAGGTGCCTGTAATCCCAGCTACTTGGGGGAGCTTAACTGAGAGGATCACTTGAACCCAGGAGGCAGAGGTTGCAGTGAGCCAAGATCACATCACTACAATCCAGCCTGGGCAACAGAGTGAGACCCAGTCTCAAAAAAAAAAAAAAATATATATATATATATATATATACACAACTTCCTCCAGCCTCCCCACCCCAATCTTTATGGGATCGTCTCCTGAGACTTCTCACTCTATGTGGGATATGGTTCAAGCCAATTTTTGAATCTCAAAGGGTACCCACATTTGGGTTATAAAATACATGGCATCATAAATATAGGGCTTCTTTAGCATTCACCCTGTAATTTACCTAACTGGTCCAGTTTTGGTAAAGATTTAAATCACTTCCAATGTTTTGCTCACCACAGGAAACCTATAGCATATTTCAATCTATTACGTTCATTGGGCGTGACCTGTATAAATGCCTGAAGAGAATCCTTAGTTCAGTTAATGGTGGTAGCTGATGCATATTGAAGACCTAACCTTCCGGACACCATGCTAAGCCTTTCAAGCATTAGCTCATTTGAGCTTTGCAGCAAGCCTTAATCATAGACATAATAATATTAATACCTATATCTGTGAATTACAGATGAAGAAATAGTCACAAGAGATTTAGTAACTTGCCCAGGAACTCACAACTAGTATATAGCAGAGTTGAGATTTGAAATTAAGTCTGTCATGATTTTGAAGCCACGTTCTTTCTGCGATCCTACTTTGTCTTTCATCCTTTGAAGTCATAAAGAGACAAATGAGTGAGGAAGAAACCAAGCCACACAACGTGGGCAAGCCGGGTGCTGAGGCATGTTCAGGAAAAAGGGAGAGTCGCTGAGGGGCAAACTCCAACAGTATCCAAGGGTCTTCTGTGAGTGACTCAGAAGCGTACGCTCAATGCTGCCTGCATGCAGAGCCTGCGCTGGGCTGGTTCTTCCAGGCCTTAGTCCTTGTAGTCCCCATTTTGGATGAGTTACCTAGTGGGGTGGTTTCAAGCTGGCTCCCCCATAATTGAAGATCCCAGGCTCTTCCAACTCTCCTACTCTATTCATATCCAAAAGCCCACCCATGTGTGACATCCAACTCCATCCCAGGATGTATCCACTGTTTGCCTTGTGATCACAAGTTCTAGAGAAAGTTTTCACTGCAGGGTTAACCGCTGATGTGGATGCTGGACTATGAAATAGAGATGCTTATGTGAGATCACTAATCTGCAGATCCAAAATTGAAACGTTTCAGAAGTGGACATATCTTTAAAATAAATACAATACACCATATTAACAAGTGAATCATTGTGTAAGATTGACTGCAGCACTGTCGATCCTGAAAGCTGTATTCATTTAGAAGGGGGACCTTGACAGGCTAACAGAAAATACTGTTTCCAATTCTTTACGGTATAGCCCATATGCCTGCAAACATCAAAGGGGTACAAAGGAAGAACTGACAGCCTCAAAAGCCATCTCAGATGCTCCTTCCCCAGGTGTCCTGCTTGACTTCTGAAGGCTCTGAGGTTATCTGCATTGCCTGAGCACCGGATGGAGCTTCAATTCTTGGGCTGCATTTCTTCATAGTGGACTAGAGGCAATGGCCCTGGAATTTAAACCTTTGCCGCCAGTTCTAAGTGTTGTGTGAAGCTCGGACATCTACCATGGAGCTGTGGGAAGACATGCAGATGAACTAGACAACATCCTTGACATGTCCTTCACATGTCTAGAGACGTGAATGATGTCTCTTCCATGGGACTCTGTGGTCACACTTCTGTCCCCACGGAAGAGTAAAGATAATTTCCAGGCGAGGGTAAGATTTCTGGTCAGCCTGAAAAAGAAAGTTTAGTTGGACACAAGCTGCTCTCAGGAGAGTTTTGGGGCGAGAGGTTCATGGCCAGCATCTTTGTCATGGGTACAGAGCTCACCCACTCACTTGGCTGCTGGCCCCAAGACGTCAAATGATACATTTTGCCATATTGTCTCTGGTTTCCTCAAGTTGCTGGAATCCTCCTCTGCTGAGCCACTGGTTCACACCAGATCAGCGCGTTGCCCCCTTCAGCCTGGCAGCCTTTAGGAAGACAGAATTACAGCAACCCCCACACATCCAACTAGGCTGTTTCCATCAAATCACCAGCTGGGGGGAACTGGAAATTCATCTTAATTTAGACAATATGAGCAGGAAAGATGCTGAAACACATATTCCCTTGTTTGAAATGGCTCTATGGGTCATTTCATAGAGCACAACTAGAAGCACATTGCGAGTAGCAGCACGATTGGCGCTGATTCCATCTTCCCAGGATGTATCATCTGGCACAGGTCAGCAGGGCGCGCACAGTCCCAGGAAGGAAAAGGCCACTCACAGGAAGATTGCTTTTGTCACCATAGCAACATCTTCCTAAGTCTCATCGCCTTTGCAATTACCAGTTAAACATTTATCATCCCTGTGGGACAGTGAGCTCCAGAAGAGCAGGAACCCTACTATTGTCTTGAATTTGATTTTTTTCTCCAGTAGTGGACATAGTGTGCTTGGGCCATGGTGGTTTGGGCATTTTACGCTAAGTCAGCATTTCACTGAATTATTTAGCATTTAGAGAGACACGAATATACCCTGTCCTTCCAGGAGTGCCCATGACAGACAGGCATTTGTCATACTGCCCTACCTACCGCATCCTTTGCAAATATTCACAGGGCACACATGTTGCAGGATGTGTGACGCCCAGTGCCGAGGCAGGACTGCAAGGGAAACAGCAGAGATCCCTGCCTTTCCCTAAAAGATGAGGCATTGTTAGTTTTCCTCTTCCCCGTTTCATTTCATCCGACTGCCTTTTCCTCTGGCTTCAGTCTGGGGCATATTAGAAATGGGCCTGGAAAGAGCATGTAAACCAGCGAGTCTGCAAGTGGGGCCCTGAGACTCCAGCAGCACCTCAGAACTTGCTAGAAATGCAACTTTCCCAGCCCCAACCCAGACCCACTGAGTTGGACAGTCAGACTCTGAGGCTGGGCCTAACACCCTGTGTTTCAACAAGTCCCCCAGAGGACTGAGAGGAGTCTGAGAAACACCTGTGTAGTTCCCTGTCGGTGAGGCTGGATGATGGGAAAATGAAGACTCCTGCCGGAGATAAACCTCCCAGCTGCTATCGCTGGGGTGGGTAGGAATATCAGGATCACCTGAGGTCAGGAGTTTGAGACCAGCCTGACCAACATGGTGAAACCCCGACTCTACTAAATACAAAAATTAGCTGGGCATGGTGGCATGTGCCTGTAATCCCAGCTACTCAAGAGGCTGAGGCAGGAAAATTGCTTGAGCCTGGGAGGCGGATGTTGCAGTGAGCGGAGATCACACCACTGTACTCCAGTCTGGGTGACAGAGTTAGTTAGATTACATCTCCAAAAAAAAAAATTGTGTGTGTGTGTGCTGCCTTTTTGGAAGTCCACAGGGGTTAGATCTTCAGCATTCACAGCCTCCTTCTCTGCTGCTGCCCTGGTGGCTGCACTCCCAGCTGAGGGGCCAGAATCAGGCCTGTGCCCTTAATCAGTTACATGCACTCAGCCAAGTCAGCAACCATCCAGGCTTGGGGGCTGCATCCAGGATGGGGAGGCAAAATTGGCTGCTTGCTCCCCCACAGGTCCATGGCTCTCCTGGGCACTGAGCTCAGGGAGGCCCTGCTTTGAACAAGCACCCTTTGTCGTGGGAGGGGGCCATCAGCCTCCCTGGAGCAGGTCTTCACTGAGTGGCTGGGAAAACCCCGGCACTGGGCAGGGGCAGCCTGGAGAGAATGCTTCGGGCCCCTCCTTCACCTCTCTAAAGACAAGGTGTGTGCCCCAGGCTCCATGGACAGACGCTCGGGCTAAAGGCTCGAACCCCCTTCAATTCAGCCCTAGCTCGGTGGTTCCCAAACTTTGCTGTACTTTGGAACCACCTGGGGACCTTTAAAAAATACTGGTGCCTGGCTCCCACCCCTAGACAGTCTGACTTAATTGGTATAGGCTGTGACCTGGCCACAGGAGTGTGAAAACTTCCCCAGGTGATTCGAATGTGCAGAAAAGCTTGGGAACCAATGAATGCTGTCTTTCGAGACCTGGTTCTGATGTTTACAGAGCAACACCATCCTAGAGGTCAAGGATGCAGTAGGGGCCCAGGAACAAGAAAAAAATGTGTTTGGATAATCAAAGTCCAAACCTAGCAAACAGCTGGTAAAGAAAGGCGGGGAGAGAGGTAGGGGTGGGGGTGGCGAGTGCTGGATTCGCTCGTGGAGATGATGTCAGACATCCCTCTGCGGTAGAACCGGGAAATGCATGAAAATAACCATGGCTGTGA